CGGGCGCCAAAAGCCGAAACGTCGAGGCTGGTCCGCTCCCGGGGCTCGGTCTCGACAGAGAAAGGGGCACGAAGTAGAAACAAACGGCATAGACATAAACTTTTGGCGCCCCGCTCGGATGTCTTGGATCTGCATTGGGCCTTCCTGGCGGCGCCTCCGGCCCCCCTCCCTGGCGCGCTCCGCTCGCCAGGCAGGGGGGCCCGGACCGCCAAAAGAGTACGTTGATTCAATTGTTTGCCCCTCTAGCGTAAGATCTCGCGGGGGGGGGAGGGGGAGACGGGGAACTGGATCTCCCGAGTCAGATCTCGGGCTGGCCGTGGGGTTGGCCCCTGCAGTGGTTTCCTGCGCCCCGCAGGCACGTCCCCCCCCCTCCTCAGCCCGCCTCTTTGTCTCTCGTTCTCTCTGCCTCTCTGCCTCTCTGACTCTCCCTCCGCCCAGGCCCCACCAGCCCACACGTACTGCCGCGCTGCGAGAGCGCCACGTGCGGCCTGGGTCCCAGATGGCGCCCCAGACCGGCACGTGCGTGAGCACTCGCTGTTGCTGGGCCTCCTGGATGGGGTCGGAGCAGATGGGGTCGGAGGATCGAGCCGCATCGCCGATGCATCGGCGATGCGGCTCGATGTGGAGCCCGATTTGCTTCACGTCGACGTCGCCGATGCATCGCCCACGTCTACGATGCATCGCCGGCGCGATCCTCCGACCCCACCTGGGAAGCTCTACTGTATGCTTTCGGCTCAGCACCGGTGTCGGCCGCAACGAAAAGCAGATTGCTCTGTGGGTCTCCCGCTTCTCGTAGCCACATGCTGCCGCCGTCGTCGCCATGCTCTCTCCTCTCTGCCCCTGGGTAGCGCCAGCTCTCCACATCCGAGATGCCCCCGTCTGGGTCAGGCAGATCCCTAGCCCGTGGCCGGTATGTGCGCCATGCTCGGCGCGGCCAGCAGGGCCTTGCCTCGAATCTTGGACCCAGGATATACGGATGGCTGGCGTATTTTGACATTGATTCTTGCCCGTGGGCTCGACTGGACGTCGCCGTGGCGGCTTGTCTCGGCTTCATCGTTGGCCAGGCTTCTCTTTCGGGTTCATGTTGGTCATCGCAATTCTCATATCCATTTGCCTGCGGCAAGGCCCGCCACCGTGCCGGCTGAGCATTCTGGGGGGCGATTGTTTGAGGGGGCACAGGGGGTTAGTCACGTGTGACACCTCGTGTATCCAGGCTCGGGACAGTCGTGATGATAATGGTGACAATGCTGGTGGTGATGGTGATGGTGATGGTGATGGTTCAGGCTCTGCTTAAAGTGAGCTCGTCGCAGCGCTGGGACTCGGCCACGCACTTGCTCTCCCATCTCGCCGCTGCGGCGTCGGCGGCCCGCACTGCCTGCGCCCGCGCCGCGGAGCGCTCATTGCAAGACCGCCGTCGGCAGCCAGGATCGGCCGCCGCCCGAGTCGCGCTCCATCCCATACGGAGCGCTAGTCTCAGCGCGAGGGACGGGCAGCGTGCCGCAAACCCCATCGAGCCCAACTTGCAGCCAAAATGGCCACGGATGGTGATGGTGATGGTGATGATGGTGATCGTGGTGATGGTGATGGTGATGATGGTGATGGTGATGGTGAGTGTGATGATGGTGATTATGTTAATAATGAGGGTGATGATGCTGCTGACGATGATGATGATGATGATGATGATGATGATGATGATGATGATGATGATGATGATGATGATGATGATGATGGTGATGGTGATGGTGATGGTGATGGTGATGGTGATGGTGATGCTGCCGATGGCGATGACAATGACGGTGACGATGATAATGATGATAATGGTTATGATGATGATGATGATGATGATGAGAAGAATGCTCCTGATCATGGTGATGGTGATGGTGATGACGATGGTGATGATGATGGTGTTGGCGACGATGGTGGTGGTGATCATGGTGACGAGGGTGCTGCTGGGGATGGCGACACTGATGATGATGGTGATGGGGATGATGATGATGATGACGATGATGATGATGATGATGATGGTGGTGGTGGTGGTGATGGTGATGATGACGATGATGCCGATTATGATGATTATGCTGGTGGTCATGATGATGATGATGGCAGTGGTGTGGGTGATACTGATGCTGATGGTGATGATGGTGTTGATGCTGCTAATGATGATGCTGTCGTTACCGATAATGGTAATGCTGATGATGCTGCTGCTGATGATGATGCTGCTGATGATGATGCTGAAGGTGATGCTGATGCTGATGGTGATGATGCTGATGCTAATACTGTTGATAGTGGTGCTGATGAGGATGAGGATGACGATGATGATGCTGATGCTGATGATGATGATGCTGATGATGATGACGATGATGATGATAATGATGTCGAGGAGTTGGTGGAGGAGGAGGGGGAGGAAGACCGTCACGTGCGACACATGTGCGTCTTCACGGTTTGAGTCGCTCTCGTGAGATTCGTTAGGACCGTTTTGTGGTTGCCTTGGCCTCTTGTGAGGCAGTCTTGGGGCCGTTCGGGACCCTCTTGGCCATATTTGGGCTCTCTTGGTCCGTCTTGGGGCCCTCTTGGCGGTATGGTGGCTGCGTGGGGGCCGTCGTAGGGCCGTCTTGGCGCCGCCTTGGGCCGTCTCAAGGCCCTCGAAGGCCGTCTAGGGTCCCACAGGAGACCCTCTGTCGCCATCTGAGACTCCTCTTGGGCCCTCGTTGGGGCCTCTCGGGCCATCTGTGGGCCCTTGTGGGGGCCTCTCGGGCCGCCTTGAATTGTCGGAAGCCCGAAAATGCGGTAATGCGAATCTCATTCAAATACCACTGGGACATCAGTGGCTTGTGTTTCTTATGGCCCTGTTGGAGGTCCTTCTGGGGCCCCTTTTGGGCCCTCCTGGAGGCACCTTGGGCCACCCTGGTTGCCTGGAAGCTCGGGACGCGGACATATACAGGCGGCCCGGATTAGTAGGTCGACCCTGCCAGATCAAGGGTCAGTTGTTTGTCTTGTGTCTTGCGACCCATGCCTCCTGCATTTCTGTGGCAACGTGGCCCTCGGAAGGGTCTTGTGTCCTCTCGCGTGTCCTCTCCAATCAAGCCCGACTGTAGTTCTCGGCGTCACCCCAACACACTATTACTATGTGTGCGTCGCCCCATATTTAGTCGGGCATGTCCCTCTACGGCTGGAATGTTCAAAAATGGTAACAACTAGTCTGGGGGACGATTATCACTTTTCTTTTTTTCCTTTCTATGTTTGAGTACTTTTGGGAGTATTTGGCATTTTTCGCCCAAGCTCTCCCTGTTGGAGGACATGCCCGACCTAACGCTAATACTATGTGTGCGTCGCCCCCCCCATCCCATGGGCGACGCGCGCACGGAGACATCTCATAGTGCATGCGCCGCAGCGGGCGTTTTTTCTGGCCGCCCCGCTCGGGAAACGATCTACTACAGGTGGCCATACGATATGTTTGGGTCTGACGCGCGCCTCCAAGAAGGACATAGTGCTAGTACGGTAGGTTCGTGTCGTGTCGACTGGCGGCGACCCCGCCGGCGGAGTTCAACGATGAACGCCGCGGGCGACCCAGAATCGTTCGCTGTGGTTCAGAAGCCAACGCCGAAGTCGGCGCGATACGAACCTGACGTGTGTCTCTGTGCGTCCCGCAGTCTGTTTCGAGGGAGCGTGGCCTCGGGATTGCAGAGGCACTGTTTTTCCCTACCTAGGCTCTGCCTAGAGGGTTCTTACTCTATTAGCTTAAAGGGGCCAGGCAGTGGGCTTCGCTCCGGGCGGTTCCCCCGGTCCCCGCCCCGCGGTTCCCCCAGTCCCCTGGGAGCTTTAGCTTTAGCTTTAGCTTTAGCTTAGCTTCAGCTTAGCTTTAGCTTAGCTGCAGCTTAGCTTTAGCTTAGCTTTAGCTTAGCGTTAGCTTAGCGTTAGCTTAGCTTTAGCCTAGCGTTAGCTCAGCTGTAGCTTAGCTTTAGGTTAGCTTTAGCACAGCTTTAGCTTAGCTTTAGTTTAGCTTTAGCTTAGCTTCATCTTAGCTTTAGCTTAGCTTATGTTTAGCTTTAGCTTAGCTTTAGCTTAGCTTCAGTTTAGATTTAGTGTAGCTTAAGTTTAGCAGTAGCTTAGCTTTAGCTTAGATTTAGCCTAGCGTTAGCTTATATTTAGCTTAGCAGTAGCATATATTCAGCTTAGCGTTAGCTTAGATTTAGCTTAGCTTTAGCTTAGTGTTAGCTGAGCTTTAGCTTAGCTTTAGCTTAGCTTTAGCTTAGCGTTAGCTTAGCTTCAGCTTAGCTTTACTGTTACTACTAATGCTGCTTTCCTAGGGGCTCCAACTCCTAGGGTCGCACTGGGATAATTGTTTGACGAGGGGCCGCGGCCTCGGGAGCCGGGGGGATGCATGCGCCTGTCTGTGACCAGGGGGAGGGGATCGAGGGGGCGCGGATGAGCGGCGGGTCCCGTTTCCACAGGAAATCTTGGATTTCCGCCCCCGAACGAGGCGGCACCGGCCGCATTTTGGGGAAGGGCACCTCCCCCGATCCATGGTTGCGCGCCCCCGATCGAATACGCAAATTTGCAGAGCAGCACCTGTCATTCTAGGCTCAAGGCTGGATGGCATGCAACAGCCCAGTTCGACTTCCCAAGGGTCGTTGAGCTATAGGTGACCGCGTAGCCACAGTTTGAAGAGGGGAGGGGATCCCTCATGAGAGTACGAAGGCCCTGCAGAGCAGCACATGGCATTCTCACACGCCCACATCGTGCAGGCACGGTGGCGGACGTAACACCGCGTCTCTGGACGCCAGGAATGGGTACGGGAAAATGGGAACGATGCCCAACAGCGATTGACATCGGCTGCTCTTGGGCAGGCGACCGACTTTCTCAAGTGAACATCCTCCGCGGCGACGCCGATGGCAAGTCCTGTTCGAAATGGGCCAGGCCTGCTGTCGGTCCTCGTCCCCGTTCTTTCTGTACCAGTTTCGACCATACCCAGCGTCATGTCGTGCCCCCTCCACCGACAGGCCGTCTCCCTCCGCTTCTTCAACGAGGTGGCGCGCGAAGGCCGTCGGGCGGGGCGCGCTCGACAACAGAGACACATCCTCGGCGGTGGTTTTCCAGGACCCATGTCGATTCCACGTCGATATCGTCGGTCTCGAGCCGACTCGATTCCGATATCCCGACGATGCGATGCGGCCCGATGTTCGTAACTATGGCGTTGGCGCAGCCGATATGATTCGATGGCGATTCCTTGCCGATGCAACCCGACTCGATGTTCGGTCCGACCCGATCCGATGTTTCGATTCGATGTGAGTCGATCCTGCTGGTGGCCTTCGACTCATCCCGACACCGTGCCTGGGTTTGGGGCCAGAGCCATCTGGAAAGCCTCTCCGGGTCTCTTTGGATGGCATCGTGGAGGCTTCTTGTGGGTCTCTCGGGGGCTTCTTGGCGGTCTTGGAGCCGTACCTTTTTGAGAAGGCCCGAGGGTTGCCCCCTCTTTTCGCCCACATGCGCTTCCCCCATCTCCCATCTCCCATCCACGTCGCGCACTTCCCTTTCCCGCAATTCCCGCAGTTCCTTTTGCATCTTCCGGAGTTCCCTCCGCTCTCAGTCCCAGGCCCTCCGTCCCTTCCCCTCCGTCTCCTCCTCTTTCTGCTCCAACTCGTATGTTTGCTCTTCCTCGTCATGCGCGTCCTCCCCCACCATCCTGCTGGTCCTCCGCCTCTCCTCCTCCCTCCGAACCTGCTGCTCCTCGTCCTCATACCTCGCCCTCGCCCTCTCCCGCCTGTTGCTGCGGCACCACCGTCCGCGTTCCCCTCCACAGGCTCCCCTTCGTGCTCCCGTTCCATCGTCATGCGGGCGTGTAGCTCAGCTCTCGTGGGACTGGCGCTCCCGTACAGTGGGGGCTCATGCCAAGAAACACCCTGCTGGCCTCCAGGGTGCCCTTGGTTTCTTGGGTTTCGATGGTTTTGCGATGGAGAGCGCGACGTCCCCACACCGAAAATCGATGTACGTCCTGGGGTCTCAGGGTTGGGTTTCTTGTGGAAGGTTGCTTGTAGACGGGCCTCCACTGTATGATCCAGTCCAGTCTGGTCCTCGTGACTTCCTTTTGTTTCCCCCCTCTTGGTGCCCAGATCCCCGCCTCGTCGTCTTTCTCTCCCACGAGAGGGAGAGGTACCAACACACCGCTACCCTTCCCTCGTCGCCGTGGCTGGATACGCACCCCAGAAGAGGTCGGGGAGTGGCGGTGTCGACACCGTCTTGTCTCTCCGCCTCACCTGGCGCGCTCCTGCGCTGAAGTGCGCAAGGCGACTTGGAAGCCGCGCTTCTTTTCGTCGCCGACGAGCACGAAATTCGAAACGGCGAGCGCAGGTCGGTGTTGAGGCAGTCTAGGTCTGGAAGCCCGCACGCCGAAGCCCCCAAAGTTGGTGTCCCCAGATCCCCGACGAGGTGATTATTTTTTCAAGGACCGACCAAAACACTGTTTAGCTTGGTTTGGGCCTTTGTTTCGTTGTTATGTTGTTTTTCCTTTTGTGTTGTTGTTATGTCGTTCCGTTTTTCTCTCTTCTGTTCAACGCCTCATCTCTCTATCCGTGTCGTTTGGCACTGGTTTCGTCGTAAACGTTAGTCTTAAGCGTTGAGTTTCGTCTCGTTTTTCGTTTTTAGCGTTATTTCGTAGTGAGCATCGTTGTGGTCGGTCCTTGGATTTGTTTCGCAACGCGGCCCACAATGTGACCGCAAGAGCCCTCGACCCCCTGCCCAGGACCGGACTTCCATCCCAGCAGTCCCAGGAGCCGTTTGGCCGAGGGTGGCCAAAAGATTGCCGTCGTTTTTCTCACAGAGCGAGGAGCTCGAACCTCTCCAGGGGTGTGGCCTGGCCAGGAGTTCGACGCGGAGAGGCCCCTCTCAGAGGCCCAGAGGGTTCCTGCTCTGCGATCGCACACGCTGCCCAGGCCGCAGCAGATGCGGCGCGATCCAGAGTCGGAACCTACAAAGGATAAGGGTAAGCAGGGGTGTGGTTTGCGATCGGCGCTGTCGGGGCCTGGGGGGCACGACACAGTCCTCGTCGGGCCTTCTCGGGGCGCGGCGGAGAACTCTATGGAGTTCGCCGCTCACCCCCCCCAGGGTGCCCCCAGGGTGCCAGTTGCAAGCCACACCCTTTGCAAACCACACCCTTTGGAGTCGCCGACAGAGTCGGAGTTCTTCGCCCTGCTGATGCATCGGTGACGCGGCGCGATCCTCTTTGGAGGACCTCCAGCTCGCCAGTCCCGGTCCCCGCAGGCTGGAAGAAGGAGCTGAGCAGGCGGCTCGGCGCAGAGGGGACGCAGTGGAGCCGGGGCTGGAACAGGACCGCGGTGCCGAGCGCGGGGCCCGGCCCCGCCGCCGCTGTGAGGGTTATTGGTGCCGCGCGCCCCCTCTCCACGAGGCGGAGGAGGGGCGAGGGAGGGAAGAGGCCGGTTTTGTTGGCAGTCCCAGCGTTGTTTCCCCGAACAGTAGTATTTTCGGGTCGGGCGTGTCCCCCTACAGGCACGGATTTCAAAATAGTCACAGAAAAAAACTTCCAAATAGTCTGAAATGCTCAAACATCATCCCCTGACTATTTGTTTGAGTATTGTATTTTCGAGTCTCCCCCATGTAGAGGGACATGCCCGACTTAAGAGTCCTTGCACTCAGAGTTCCTTACTTCTCTTCTAAGGTAACTCGGCCCCAGTGCCGCTCCGTGTCCTGCTTTGTCGCTGCCTGTCGCCGCCCGTCACGCTGCCGTCTCCGCCGGGGGCCCCGGTAGCGGTCTGGCCAGCTTGTCTACGCCCTTGGCCGCGTTGTAGTCGCTGTGGTTCGTACTGTGGGGGCCCATGCCAAGAAACACCCTGCTGGCCTCCAGTGTGCCCTTGGTTTCTTGGGTTTCGATGGTTTTGCTATGTAAAGCGTGACCTTCCCACACCAAAAATCGATGGACGTCCTGAGGTCTCAGGGTTGGGTTTCTTGTGGAAGGTTTCTTGTGGACGGGCCTCCACTGTACTGGTTTGCGTCGCTTTGCATTGACTTGATTGTGTTTTGCATCGCTCTGCACTGCTCTTTGCACCACACAGGTTGCACCACATGGACTGCACCGCCTAGATCACATCGCTCTGATTGCACCACCTGGACTGTGCCGCGCACACACAAACACACACACACGCACACACACAGGCACAGACACGCACACACACACACACACACACACACACACACACACACACACACACACACACACACACACACACACACACACACACACACACACACACACACACACACACGCACGCGCACATAGAAAGAGAGAGAGAGAGAGACATGCTTGCCCCCCCCACATGATCATACGAGTTTGCAGTTTTGTATGATGTTCCTTGGTCATGAGTATTATCATAATCATGATAATCATCCTTTTCGTATTCGTCTTTACGCTCCTCGTCTTAGTGAGACGATTCGGAGCAGGAGGAGCGAAGAGGAGAAGGAGGAGGAGGAGGAGGAGGAGAGGGAACAGGAAGGAACGGGAGGCTTCTCACCTTACCTTCCCTCATCGATACCTTGCCTCGTTTCTCCTCCTCCTCCTCCTCCTCCTCCTCATCCTCCTCCTCGTCATGTTCACTGTTCTCCTAACCTTCCTTATCTCCCTCCTGCCTCCTCATCTTTCATGTTCCCGACTCGGGTTTGTCACATTTCCTCCAGCTCCACTGTCGGTTTCTCCCTCCTCCTCCTCCTCCTCCTCCTCCTCCTCCTCCTCCTCCTCCTCCCTCTCCTTCTCAATTCACTCCCGTTCGTCTCCTCCTCGCCCGCCTTCCTCCTCGTTCTCGTCCTCGCCATCATCATCACTCGTCTTCCTCCTCCCCCTCCTTCTTACTCCTTTCTCATTTGCTCTGAATCCCCTTGCTGTTCGCATTCTTCCCCACTCCTCGGAGGAGGAAGAGTGAGACGATGAGGGACATGATGATTGCGGAGGAGAATGAGGAGGAGAAGGAGGGGGAGCAGGGAGATGATGAGGACGGGAGAAGAGGGAGCGCGAGGAGCAGGGGGCTGAGGAGAAGGAGGCGGAGATGAGGGTGAGGGTGAGGAGGAGCAGCAGCAGCAGCAGCCTCAGCAGGAGCAAGAACGGGAGAGGGCGCAGCACAATCGGCGAGGAACAGCATGCGAAGCAGCAGGAGACGGACAATGGGGAGGATGGGGATGATGGGGATATTGATGATGATGATGCTGATGATGAAGATGCTGATGCTGTTGATGGTGGTGGTGGTGGTGATTATGTTGATGATGATACTGATGATGATACGGCTGAGATGATGATGAGGAGGCGGAGGAGGAGCCTCGCCCTCCTCCACCTTCTCTTCACCATTATGCGCCACCGTTTTCTCGTCTCATTCCACCCCCCCCCCCTTTCCCCATCCATCCTCCCCCTCTCCCTCCTCCTCCTCCCCCTCTTCCTCCTCGTTCTCCTCACCTCTCACTCTCATCGTCCTCCGACGGGCAGGATGAGGGAGGAGAGATGGCGAGGAGGAGAAGGACATGGAGGTGAGGGTCGGGGAGGGGAGAGGATGAGATTGAGGATGAGGATGAGGATGGGGATGCTGCTGATGATGATGAAGATGATGATGACGATGATATTCATGCTGATAATGATCATACTGCTGATGATGATGAGTCTGATGATGATGAATATGATGGTGCTGACGATGACGATGATGCTGCAGAAGAAGAATGGTGATGATGATCAGGATGCTGATGCTGATGCTGATGATAATGATGATGAGGATGGTGATGATGACGATGGCGATGATGATGCTGTTGTCGATGCTGATGGTGGTAGCGGTGGTGATGCGGATGCTGATACTTACGTGGATGATTATGGTGATGTTGATGATGATGATGTTGTTGATGATGATGATGATGATGCTGATGATGATGATGATGATGATGATGATGATGATGGTGGAGAGGAGGAGGAGGAGGAGGAGGAGGAGGAGGAGGAGGAGGAGGGGTGAGGACAAAAGACGGCTTACGAACCCTTCAATCAATGGCTATGCTCTGGCACTGAAGGACTCAACGTGTATTCGGCCGCGATAGGAATTCTACGGTAGCCCGCCACAACAGAAAAATTCTACAAACCGCCAACACAAAGCAATATTTTCGCAATCCCTCACGAAAGGAATATTCAAGCTGCTATACAAGGAATCCTCCTGCAATCCCATGCAAAAGAAAACATGTTGCAAGCCGCCACAACAGGAATCCTGGTGCAAACAGTCACAACGTGAACCCTTCTGTAAGCCACCACAAACGGAATCCTCTTGTTCTCCCCCACAAAGGAATCTTCCTTGCAAGCCGCCACCAGGAATCCTGTTGTAACCCGCCGCAGAAGAAAACCGTCTGTGAGCCGCCATAAATGCAATCCTTTTATCATCCCCTACAAAAGGCTCCTCCTCCTCCCTCCTCTTCCGCCCCCTCCTTTCTCCGGAGTCCTTCCATTGGGGCGTTGATTGCAACCACACTCTATTATACACAGGTTGTGTTGTTGTCGTTGTCGTTGTCTTTGTCGTTGTTGTTGTTCTGTCGGTGTTATCACCAAACCCTACGATACACATGGTAATTGGTGTTGCTGTTTTTGTTGTTGTTGCTGTTCAGGAGGCCCGCAAACTTGGCCAGGAAGGTTTGCGGGAGGAGCATGCCCGCCAAAGCTTATTATACACATGTTGCTCTGTTTCTGTTTGTTTTGGGGCATCACCACACCCTACTATGCACAGTTTTTTTGTTTTCGGGAGGCCCGCAAAGTTGGCCCGGCCAAACTGCACGGCCTCCTGAATACCAGAACAACAAAACAATCGGTGTACATGTTGTAGGGTTTGGTTGTACCACCGACCAACAAAAACAACTAAACTTGTGTGTAGTAGGGTTTGGTGGGTATGCTCCTCCCCCAAGCTTTCCTGGCCAAGTGTACGGGCCTCCTGAGAACCCAACCCCACCACAAAAAAATGTGAATAGTAGGGTTCGGTGGTATCACAGGCCAAAGAAAACACCTGTGTATAATAAGATATGGTGGCATTCCACCTCATGAAGAGGAAGTCGAAAAGAGAAGGAGGATGAGCAAGAACAGGAGCAGGAGCAGGAGGACGAGAAGGAAGAGGATGAGGTGATCTGGGATGTATAGAAGGAGATGTTTGATCATGATGGGGACGTCCACGTACATACACACATACATACATACACACATAAACACATACATATACATATACATATACATATACATATACACACATATACAGTTACACATCCATATACATATGCATTTACATGTACATATACATGTATTGTAATGGCCTCCGGCCAGTGCCGCCGATCCGGGGCGCTCCCGATGCTTGTGGGAACGGACGATGACGACGACGACGACCGACGGCCCGGTCAACGACGGACGATGATGACGACGACGACCGACGACGACGATGACGACGACGACGACGTCTACGACGACGACGACGACGACGACGACGACGACGACGACGAGGACAACGACGACGAAGACGACGACGACGACGTCGATGACGACGACGACGACGATGACGACGACGACGACGACCGACGACGACGACGACGACGACGGACGACGGACGACGGACGGACGACTGACGGGTGACGATTGAGGACTGATGGCGAATGGCGGTCGACGGCCGACCGTCCCCGCTCGAGCTTCCTCCTTGGACCCCCCCTCCCCGCTTGAGCTCGATCCCACCCCGTCCTCGATCAAGCTCCCCCCCTTCCCGACCCCTCGCCCGACCCCCCGTCCCCCGTCCCCGCTCGAGCTTCCTCCTTGGACCCCCCCCCCCCGCTTGAGCTCGACCCCCCCCTCCGTCCTCGCTCGAGCTCCCCCCCCCCCCGATTCTTGGACCCCCCCCCCCGCTGCCCTTCCCGGTTTCTTGGACACCCCCCCCCCCCCGCTTGAGCTCGACCCCCTCCCCGTCCCCGCTCGAGCTTCCTCCTTGGACCCCCCCTCGCTTGCGCTCGACCCCCCCCGTCCTCGCTCGAGCTCCCCCCCCCCCCTCGGTTTCCCCCCCCCCCCCCCCGCTGCCCTCCCGGTTTCTTGGACCCCCCCCCCCGCTTGAGCTCGACCCCCCCCCCCCCGCTCGAGCTTCCTCCTGGACCCCCCCCCTCGCTTGAGCTCGACCCCCCCCCCGTCCTCGCTCGAGCTCCCCCCCGATTCTTGGACCCCCCCCCGGCCTCCCCGGTTTCTTGGACCCCCCCCTGCTTGAGCTCGACCCCCCCTCCGTCCCTCGAGCTTTCTCCTTGGACCCCCCCTCTTGAGCTCGACCCCACCCCGTCCTCGCTCGAG